GCTCATTGATAATTGTGGTTTACCCAGAAATATATTTTATTTTATTGGGTACCACCGTGATGTATATGATAATTTAATGATCGCCATTAGATATTGACGGGTTACATTAGTCTGTTCCATTCTGCATGTTTCTTGCTAATTAATTCATTTCTTTTTGTTCAGGCGAGTAAGGACCTGCTCCTGGCGTTCTCCAGAGACTTCCTGAGCGGAGAGGGAATTCTCCCCCGGCACCTCGGCTACCTCGGGCTGCCCGTGTCCCACGTCCAGAAGCCGCTGGACGAGTTCAACTTTGCCGTGAAGAATCTGGCGGGGGACTTGAAATGTGGCATTCGTCTTGTGTGAGTGAGACTCTGTAAATTTAATGCGATGCTCTGATCCCTGTCGGGATGTTTTCAGGTCGCAGAGGTCAGATTCAGCCACAGGACTGAGGGGGATTCTTCAGCAGAGATGTTTCAGAGCAGGGAAGTTTCCTCTCAGGGTTTCTGAGTTCAGGATGGACTCGGTCTGTCCCACTAATGAGCAGTTCTGCTCTTTGCACAAGAGTAAAGTCTTGTGTGGGTTTATCTCTTGAACCCAATGCAGTGATTCACAATGCAGGCTGAAAGACCGAGCAGAGCCCTTCAGAAGTACGACAGAAAAATCTTAAACGTGCAGCTTTGCAAAGTACGTTAACCAGTACATGAAACCTCAAAGCTAATAATGAGAAACTTAAACCAAAAATTCACTTTTTGCTCCAAAAATGCCTCAAATTGAACCTTGTTAATCTTCAGGTACTTTTTTTTTTTAAACAAATTTATAGAAAATCAAATGTGTTATGAGATTCTGTCAACTCATCAGTTATCACAGAATTAAATTGACTCGCTTCTTGTTTCTGCTGATTTTTTTAAAACTTAAAACAAAAGTGTTCGGCAGGAAACTCTCTCTGAGAATCTTTAGTGGAGTAAAAAGTGTCACAGTGACCAGAGAAACAGAAATAGACGTAAACAGTCTCTTTAATGTCTGGTTTCCTTTCAGGCGTGTGATGGAGCTCCTCATCCAGGACTGGAGTCTGTCGGCGAAGCTCCGCCTGCCGACCATCAGCCGCCTGCAGAAGATCCACAACGTGGACGTCGCTCTGCAAGTGCTCAAAAGCAGAAACGTCGACCTCAAGGACGAACATGGTGATTATTACTTTCCTCCTGAGCAAAGGGAGGAAAAAAAAAACAACTGAGCGAGACGCTGAACCTGAAGCTGTGTCTGCCCTCGACAGAACGAGACTCGATGTTTTTCAACACCGAACAGGATTTCTGACATTTAGGAACATCTCACTGCACAAAACTTCTCCTCAAGCAGCGGAAACTGTGACATATCACTGCTTTAGAGTTTGATCGCAGTCGGCTGCTCTTGTTCAGGAGCACCAGGACACAACGGGATTGTTTTGCCTTTTATATGATTTTGAGTTGAGCTGAATGTGACAGAAAATGACTTGAGAGTTCAGGAAAGAACAAAACAACATGTCAATTAATTAATATTATTATTATTATTTTCCTGCTCTGAGGCTCATGTGGTCTGTTTCTGTATTTTCAGGATCCATCATTGACTCCAGAGATGTGGTTGATGGACACAGAGAGAAGACGCTGGGTCTCCTGTGGAAGATCATCTTTGCATTTCACGTGTGTGTCCCGCCCGCTCAGTAAACTCCAGTCATTCCTGAAATCCTGCGAAGTGAGCTGATGTCAAACAATCTGTTCAGGTGGAGGTGATTTTGGACGAGGAGCAGCTGCGAGACGAGATCGGCTTCCTGAGGAGAGCGCTGAGGACCAAACGGAGGCTGGTGTCCCTGAGGGCCGACCGGGGCCTTCAGCCGAGTCCCGTGAAGACGAGGTCGCCCTACGAGAACAGCAGCACCAAGATCACCCTGCTGATGGACTGGACCCGCGCCGTCTGTGACTTCTACGGTCTGAAGGTGAGTAAATGGCGTTTGCATTTTCTTCGGTCTCTGAGCAAATGCAGACGTTTGAAGACGAGACGCTGGTCCTGGATTTTATTTTTGTCTTGTGAGGCTGGATGCTGTCTCACTGTTCGTCTGTCCTCTGTGTTTCCATGTGATGTGTTATTGAGCTGTTCCTCTGGTTTAGCCTTTGGATTTATGTCTTTGTTAAAAGTTGTCTGTCTCTCTCTCTGTCTCTCTGTGTCTGTCACTCCCTCTTTCTCTGTCTGTCACTCTCTCTC